AGCAGAGTCCTCAGGGCGAGGGCCTGGGATTGGGTCACCACATCTGGTGAACGGGTGGGTAAGTTTAATTTGGGGGGAAGTAGAAGCATTAAATTGTGGTGTTGGCAAAGAATATACCATGGACTGCCAGATGAACAAACAAATTTGTTTTGGAAGAAGTACAACCAGAATGCTCCTTAGAAGCCAGGATAGCCAAACTATGTCTCACGTACTTTGGACATGTTATCAGGAAGGATCAGTCCCTGGAGAAGGACATCATGCTTGCTAAAGCACAGCATCAGCAAAAAAGAGGAAGACCCTCAATGAGATGGACTGACACAGTGGCTGCAACAATGGGCTCAAACATAGCAACCACTGCAAGGATGGCGCAGGACCGGGCAGTGTTTCATTCTGTTGTACACAGGGTCGCTATGAGTTGGAACAGACTCAACAACATCTAACAACAACAATTCCAGCAGCAAGACCTACCATGCTAGGAGTATAAAAGAGGGCTTGGTTTTGTCTGGGGGGTTCCCTGGGTTGTCCAAACTATTAATGTACTCAGCTGCCAGCTAAAAGGTTGGAGATTTGAGTTCACACAGAGGTGCCTTGGAAGAAAGCCTGGCAATCTATTTCTGAAAAATCAGCCATTGAAAACCCCGTGGGGCACAGTCTTACTCTGACACACATGGGGTCACAATGAGTCCAAATTAACTTGATGGCAACTAGTCTGGAGTCCCTGGGTGGTGCAGCCAACATGCTTGAAAGATTGGAAGTTTGAGATCACCTAGAGGTGCCTCAGAAGAAAGGCCTGAAAATCTACTTCCAAAAAAATCAGCCACTGAAAACCGTATGGAGTGCGGTTCTACTCTGACACATGTGGTCGCTGTGAGTTGAAGTCAACTCAATGGCAAGGTTTTTGTTTTTGTGTTTGGCCTTGTCTGGGGAAAGGGATAACAGAAGGCTTTATGAAGAAGTGACCCCTGAATTGAGATGTGAAGAAAGGGTAGGAGCTAGTGAAGCCAAGGGGGTGTGACGGGGGCAAGGGTGTCTCAGGAAGCACATCATGTCCAAAGGTCCAGTGGTGGGCAGGGGCATGGCACATGTGAGGACATGAGAGAGGACGGCGAGGCTGGGTGCAGCATGAGGGCGGGGGCATGAGCTGGGCTGCAGGGAGCCGATGCCAGATCTCACAGGGCCTATGGGCCATACTAAAGGTGGTGTTTTTAATCCTAATTTCAATGGGGTGCCACCGAAGACAGTCACAGATTTGTGTTTTAGAAAGATCCCCCAGACGCAGAGTGGTGAACAGATTAGAGGGGGGTGGGGCAGGTAGGAGGGAAGAGTTGGACCGTGAGTAGACTTCTACTGCAGCAGCAGGATCAGCATCACCCTCTTCAGGGGTTTCAGAGAAAACAGAGTAAAAAACAGAGACAGGCTGGCTGGAAGACCCCTAAGAGACTTTACTGCCCTTGCGTTATGGATTGAATTGCGTCTCCCAAAAACCTGTGTTGGAATCCTAAGCCTTTTGCCTGTGGACGTAATCCCAGCTGGGACTAGGGTTTCTGTTGTTAGTTAATGAGGTCATACTAGTGTAGGGTGTGTCTGAGACCCAATCACTTCTGAGATATAAAAAGAGAAGACTGGGCACACAGGACAAATGGAGGAAAGACAGATGTCACGTGGAGATTCCCAAGGGACGCCGAGAAGAAAGCTAGACAAGCCTAGACCAGGATCTTCCTCCAGAGCCGACAGAGAGCCTTCCCCTAGCGCCAGCGCCCTCAGTTTGGACTTCCAGCCTCCTGAACTGTGAAGAAATCCATTTCTGTCCTTTAAAACCACCCAGTTTGCTCCTCTCTTGCGGCAGCGTTGTTGTTGGCTGCCGTTAAGTCGACTCTGACTCATGGTGACCCCATGTGTGCAGAGTAGATCTGCACCCCGCAGGGTCTTCAAGGCTGTGAGCTCTCGGAAGCAGATCACCAGGCCTTACTTCCCAGGAGTCTCTGGGTGGGTTTCAACCGGCAGCCTTTCAGCTGTAGTCCATTTCCGAACCATGTGCTCCACCCAGGGACTCCTACGAGATAACGAAGATGTCTTAGAAACCCCACTGGCATCATTCTAGCATCTCGAGCTCAGGCGAATTAATGCACTAAACCTCTCACTATAGGCCATTTACCATCCTTTTCCAGTGCTACCTCCTTCCATTGCCATAACAACCCACAGCCCATGATAAGAACCGGCAGACGTAACCAAAAGGGCAGGGGTGTTGAGATTTGTCCTGGGGCCTCACTGCGGATCTCGTTCTCTCCCCTGGCCCTGGGTGTGCTGTGGTCATGTTGCCGTCCAGTCGATTCCGACTCACAGTGACTCCATGTGTGTCAGAGTAGAACTGTGCTCTGTAGGATTTTCATTGGCTGATTTCTCGGAAGTGGATGGCCAGGCCTTGCTTCTAAGGTACATCTGGGTGGACTTGAAATGCCAGCCTTTTGCTAAGGGCATGTCAATTGTTTGCACGGCCCAAGGACCCCTCATCAGCCTCACGGTGTCGCAAAGCCTGTGCCAGGACGGTGCTGAGTGCTGTGTGTCTTGCCAGGGAGGTAATTCTATCAGGAAAATCGCCTCTATATCCTGATCCTAGTTAGAAGGGGCGATCTGTCTTGAGAGTTATGTGCCCCAAACTGGGCCAAGCCCAATAGTTGGGGTGAGGGTGGGGTGGGGTACAACTGCACATGACACAGTCCCTTTGGCTAAGTCAGTTACACCGAAGAAGAAAAGCTAGTACCTATGCAGCAGCCACGAAGGCTAGAATCTGTTCAGCCCAGAAGATGTGGGGAGGCCGAGGCTGTCAGCGCCATCCACGGAGGACAGGCGCTTGGCCTGGGCCTTGCGATCTTTAAGTCTACCGAGACCCAGCTGCCGTCGAGTTAGCTCCAACTCACGGCCAACCCATGTGTTTCAGAGTAGAACTGTGCTCTATAGGGATTTCAGTGGCTGAGTTTTCAGAAGTAGATCTCCAGGACTTTCTTCCGAGGTGCCTCTGGGTGGACTCGAGCCTCCAGCCTTTTGGTTAGTAGCCAAGTGTGCTAACGATTCACATTACCCAGTGACTCCATTAAACCTACACTCAGCGGTTACTCTCAGGCCAGTCCTGGTATTGCCGGGGGCAGGGGTGGGGGGGTGGGGTCTGCCTTTACCATACCCATGACACCAAATCAGACATTCCCAATGAAGAAGTTGCTCCTCTGGGCCGAGGACACCACGTGACAAAATAAAAGCGATTTCTGGGCAAACCAGATTCTGAAAATATTGCACACAGGAAGCCGTCATTTTTAAAAAAGACTCTGCGGAGGAATGCAATTTAGCCACAAGAGGGCGCAGTCGGTTAATTTTGGGAAGCCCACGGCTGACCAGGGAGGAACTGGGGATTAGCAATGTTAAAAAACAGCGTAAATATTATGGATTATTTTTTTCTGCTAAGGAGCCTCTCCATTCCTGAATAAAAGTCTGGCTTAGGTTTCAAGAAATAAAAATTCGGGCCACAAATGGTCCAGAAAATCCCCGAGACAGAGGCCCCGACAGCCACAGAGCCAAGCTTGTCCTGGGGAATTTGTGGAAATAGCAGGCTGGACTTGCCCAGGACATACACGCTCTGAGATCCATGCTTCTCAACCAGGGGGATGCCCCCAGGGGACACGTGTCCAGGTCTGGAAACGTTTGTGGTTGTCATAACTGGGGGGTGCCCCTGGTGGGTGGAGGCCAGGGATGCTGTTCAATATCCACAACGCACAGGACGGCCCTCCCTCATCTCTGCCGCAAAGAACTATCTGCCCAAAAGGTCCACAGTGCTGAGGACAAGAATCCCTGGTTTAGAAGCGAAAACCAATTTTCTCTACGGGGAAGAAACGCCGCTCCTGGCAGTGGTTTAACGTGTGTGGCTGGGCTGGGAACTTCTAGATGTTCTCACCATCCACTGGGAACTTCTCTCCTGCGGGGGGAGGGAGGTACCGCTATGTGATGGAAGAGCTCACTCCCCTCCAAGGGAAGACCCCAGGGCTGGGCAAGGCCTCTTCCCAGGAACTTCAAGTGCTCCCAGGATGAAAGGCTGCTACAGATGTCATTATGGGTCTCTGGGTCCTCAGGTCCCAGGGTGTGGTCAGCACAGGCCTTCGGGCCAGGGGTCCCTGGTCCCTGTCAGGGTTATTGGCCCTGAGATTCAGCCCTCAGCTGCTGGCTGAGCCAAAGCACGGAAAACACTGAAGACGGGAATCCGTTTGGTCAGGATAGGCAGGTAACGGCCGTGGTGTGTGAGAGAGTGGGGGTGACCGAGTGGCAGAGACAAAGGCGTGGAGACCGTTCAGTGGCTCGGGGCGGGGGCGGGGGTGCTTCATGGAGAAGCCTGGAGAACAGCGGTGTCCCAAGGCTGTAACCAGGACACATGCAAGGGCACTGGGGTCAGCACCGCTCGGGGAGGGCAGGTCGGGGCAGCGTCAGGACACAGCGTTGCTGTTGTTGGGGGCTGTGGAGTCGATTCTGACTCACGGCCACTCCATGTGACAGAGCAGAACTGCCCCCCGGGGTTTCCAAGGCTGCAATCGTTACAAGGGCAGACTGCCACTTTTCTCTGGAGGAGCAGCCGGTGGGTTCAAACTTTTGGTTAGCAGCTGAGCACTTAACCACTGCGCCACCAGGGTTCAACAGGAGTGGAGCTGAAACACAGGCCAGGGAAGCCGAACCAGAAAAGAAACTCCAAAAGATGTATTTCCGGGCACGGGGCCTCCTAATTTTGTCAGGGGAAGGGCCGCCATACTCCTGCTCTTTGATGCCCTTTGACGCCCCCTCCCATGCCCCCTCACGACACCCTATGAGGCCGACTGAGAGATCCACTGTCTTCACGAGGAGGCCAGGGCTCCCGCGTCCCCCCACGGTCTCCCGCATGGCTGGGGAACAGGTGTGGGGTGGGGTCGTCCGCGTCTCAGCCAGGATTCTAGAGTGTTCCACATTACCGCCCGACCAGCCTTCAACTACAAATCGCTTCTCTTCTTCAGCACCTTCCTGGCGTTCTCAGCACCGACGTCACTGTCCTGCTGACTCGGTCTTTGGCTGCAGCAAACATGGAAGAAATGCCACCAGTTAGAACCTGAGGTGTCAGTCCCGACCACGTCTGTCCCGGCCCAGTCACTTGTCAAGCTCATCTGCGCTGAACCCACGTTTTGGCCACCAAAACAGTTTAACTTTTTTAATTTAATTTTTTTTATTGTGATGAGATCTAACAAGGCGTTTGCCATTTCAGTCATTTTTCTGTGTGCAATTCAGTGACAGTAATCACGTTCATCACGAGGGACAACTATCACCACTCTCTCCAATTTCTTTCATCCCCCTACACGGAAACTCAGTGACCCTTTCTCCTCGCACCCGTCCCTGGAACCATGAACGGACTTCGGTCTCTGTGCATCTGTCTGCTGCAGATACTTGGTCTAAGTGGGATCTGACGACATCTGTCCCTTTGTGTCTGGCTGATTTCACTCAGCATGATGTTCTCAAGGTCCATCCATGTCGTGGCCTGTATCAGGACTTCTTTCTTTTTTACAGCTGAATGACAGCCCAGTGGTTTTCATTTTGATGTGGGTTGTTCAAAAAAAAAAAACAAAATTCCTCGTTTCCCCGTATTGGGTGGGAGAGTGTCCATGCGCCACGAGACTGAAGGCATGGGTGCTCACGTGACTGGGGCGCCCAGGGCTGACCTCCCCATTTCAAATCCCAGAGCATCTCTAGCCAGTAGCCACCCTGGTGGGAGAGGGGTTTGCCCGACTGGTCAGGCTGGGCCCTGGTGGGGCTTGGAGCCCATGGTGACTAACCAAATTAGATGCTAATAATAACAGTGATGACAGGGAGAAAGGCCTGGCCATCTCCTTCCAAAAATCAACCAATGAAGACTCTATGGCTCTCAATGGGCCAATCAGCAACTGATCATAAGGATGGCACAGGACTGGGCAGTGTGTTGTTCCGTTGTGTGTGGGGTCGCCATGAGTGGGGGGCCCACATGATGGCAGCTCACAACAACTGAAGAGTAATCCTAACACCAATATTTCCCATTATCGTCAGGGTTTACATTGCTGTGCCCCGTTACAGCCATCCTTCCTCGGGCCCTCACACTAAACGCGGCTGAGAGAACGGCTAGCCTTCCTGCCCAGGAGGAGGCGCACAGCAAGTGAGCAGGAAGCTGGGGACCCCGTTGTACCTGAGCGGTCCTGCGGTGTGACCCCCAGAAGCGGAGTCGTCATCGTTGAGTGCCCCTGGCTCCCCTTTGTCCCGGGGAGGGGGCTTCTTCCTTTTGGTCCTCAGGGGCTTCTCTGCAGAGGACAGGTGAAACCAGACACTGGGGCTGACTTTTGGCCAGGGAAAGCTTGGCTCGGCCTCACTCCGATCCACCTGGTAACTTCTGGGCATCCTTTGTGGGGTCTCACTGCCATTACACCCATTAAGCTTACCAGGAAACTGAGGCCCAGGGAAGCGCAGTGCTTTGCCAAGCCCACACAGCCAGTAAGCGGCGGAGGTGGTATTGGAACTCTGGTCTCTCAGACCCCCTGTCCCTAGTCTGACTACCATACCCAGCTGCCTTTAAGCCTCACAAAGCAGGAGCAAGCTGAGAAGAGAGTGCGGGCGCTGCGCTTCTGCCTTAAGAGCTCTGTATTTTCACACTGCCGTCCCAGTCATCATCCCACCAGCCCCGCTTTTCCCTTATATTGGCATCCTGGGACCAGGTTTGGGCCCCACTGGGGACTCCTGATCACCCTGGTGGCACAACTGGGACAAGGCACTTGGATTTAAAACTTTGGGCCCTCGGGGGCGATGCAGGCTATTCTAAAGTGACAGACGGAGGACAGGCCAGGAACAAGGACGCTGTGACGTCACTGTCGGGAGGGGCCAGGAAGGACGCTGTGACATCACTAAGGTTATCACTGTTGGGTGAGGGGCCAGGAACAAGGACACTGTGACATCACTGAGGTGGTCACTGTCGGGGGAGGGTCCGGGAACAAGGACACTGTGACATCACTGAGGTGGTCACTGTCGGGGGAGGGGCCGGGAAGGACACTGTGACATCACTAAGGTTATCATTGTCGGGGGAGGGGCCAGGAACAAGGACACTGTGATGTCACTGTCAGGGGAGGGGCCAGGAAGGACACTGTGACATCACTAAGGTTATCATTGTCGGGGGAGGGGCCAGGAACAAGGACACTGTGACATCACTGAGGTGGTCACTGTCGGGGGAGGGGCCGGGAACAAGGATGCTGTGATGTCACTGTCAGGGGAGGGGCTGGGAACAAGGATGCTGTGATGTCACTGAGGTTGTCACTGTCAGGGGAGGGGCCAGGAAGGACGCTGTGACATCACTAAGGTTATCACTGTCGGGGGAGGGGCCGGGAACAAGGACGCTGCTATGTCACTGAGGTTGTCATTGTCGGGGGAGGGATCAGGAACAAGGATGCTGTGATGTCACTGTCAGGGGAGGGGCTGGGAACAAGGACGCTGCGATGTCACTGTCGGGGGAGGAGGACTTGCTGTTCCCGTTTTACAGCTAACAGGGATGAGACCCAGCTGGGTAGGGCCAAGCCAGGACTCCATTACCGAGGGCTAGGAGTAAGGACCCCAGGTGTCCTTCCTGAGCCTGCTCACTGCACACAGGGACACGGAGCCCAGGCAGCTGGGCGGTGCCCAAGGGCACGAGTTGCTTGATGACCACCGGCCGTGCGTGGACTAGAACCTGCGCCCTTAGCTCAGAGCTCCTCCCTGCAGCTGCCGCTTTCTGGGACTTACCCGGCAGCCCGCGCTTACTCGACGATGCTTTGTTTTCAGCCAGGGGCACCCGGGCCAGTGCAGCCAGCTCCGAGATAAAGCTCTGCTCGGCTTCCTGAGTGCAAAGGGGAGAGGGTGAGCTGGGCTCCCACCGCCCTTCTACACACCCCCACACCACCCCACCTGAAGGATGTCTGACACCTCTGAGGATCCATCTCCAGGAAGCATCCAGAAAGGGCTGGGCAGGGCAGAGGCACGTGGGAGGGAGGAAGCAAACGCAGGCTCCGGCCAGACAACTGGTGCTCCTCACTCACACCAGCCATGAATCCCCTTTTACAGATGAAAACACTGAGGTCGGGGGCTGAGGACCCGCTGGGACCATGGGGACGGAAGCAGCAGAGCCAGAATCTCAGCACTTTCGCCCAGCTCTAAAGCCTGAGTTCTTAACTGCCACACCGTGGTTCAGCAGGACAGGCTGGATTCCAAACCTGTGGCTCCATGTCTTGTTAGCAGTGTGATGTTGCCGCTAAGCCTCAGTTTCCCCACCGTAACTGGGATAATAACAGTAACCTCCTCCTTGGCTGTTGGAGGATGACGTTAGATACTGCATGTAAAGCTCTCAGCCCAGTGACTGTTTATAATGGCCCCTCAACAAATAAATGTTAACTAGGAGCCCTGGTGGTGCAGTGGTTAAGCAGTTGGCTGCTAACCAAAAGGCTGGCAGTTCAAATTCACCAGGCGCTCCTTGGAAACCCTATGGGACAGTTCTACTCTGTCCTATAGGGTCGCTATCAGTTGGCATTGACTCGATGGCAATGGGTTTGGTTATTTGGGTTTATGATTACTATGGAGTCCCTGGATGGTGCCAACGGTTAAGGCGCTTGGCTGCTGACAGAAGATTAGAAGTTGGAGTCCACCAGAGGTGTCCTGGAAGAACAGCCTGGTGATTGACTTCTAAAAAGCCACAGCCTTGAAAGCCCTATGGAGCACAGTCCTACTCTGACACTCGGGGGGCTGTCAAGAGTCAACAGCAACTGGTTTTTATAATTACTATATTCTTATATATATTCTTACAAATATACTGGAGCCCTGGTGGCGCAATGGTTAAGATCTCAGCTGCTAACCAAAAGGCTGGCACTTTGAATCGATCAGCCGCTCCTTGGAAACCCTATGGGGCAGTTCTACTCTGTCCTACAGGGTCGTTATGAGTCAGAATCAACTCGACAGCAATGGGTTTGGATATTCTTTTATTACTGCCACCACTGGCAGTCACTTCGCCCAAGGGCCCAACATGCTGTGAAATGCTTACATTCTGGAATGTTTGACTTTTTCTTTAATGGCAGCCACTTTGCTTGATTGCCTCACCTTACAATCTCAGTAACAAGATGTTTCCGTGATGAAGTATCCACTATACACAATGAGATCAGATCTGCCTGTATGTTCCAGAAAAAGTGCAAACTTCAGTTACCACCAAAATACCAGCTGCCATCGAGTCAATTCCGACTCACGGTGACCCCATGCATGTCAGAGTAGAACCGCGATCCACAGGGTTTTCAGTGGTTGATCTTCCGGAAGGAGACTGCCAGGCCTTTCTTCTGAGGCACCTCTGGGTGGATTTGAACCACCAACCTTTTGGTTGGTAGTCCAGTGCTTAGCTGTTTGAGCCACCCAGGGATCCATCAGTCACCAATGCTGCCTAAACGACCCTGCCCTTAGCCCCAGCCACTACCTTGTGGTGAGAGCCACACTCAGGAAAATACTTGTCTTCCTTCTCGCTGAATGGACAGGAACTGGTCAGCTGCTATGGGCCTGGCCCAAGCTGGGTGCAGCGGACACACGGAGAGTCAGCACAGGCCCAGCCTGCCCTCCAGGCACTAATGGTCCAAGCAGACAGCCCATAGCTAGTGAGACTCAGCGGGCAATGAGGGACGTGCAGGGGCCAGGGGTCCTGTGGAGGGGTTGGCGGTGTGAGCCATGAGGTTGGGCGTGTTATTTCCTCTCTTCTTTCCCACGGCTCGTACCTGGAGCTGGGTCTCCAACTGCTCTTCCAGAAGTTCCATGACTCTGGCCTTCTGCTTCCCGGAGTCCAGGCGCAGGTGCTGATGCATGGCGAACTGGGCCAGGAACCTTTTCTGCTGTGACAACATCCTGGAGGATGGATGAGGGTTGTCAGCGCCCCCTGTGCCGGCAGGTCAATCAAAGCCCCTGCACCCATCTTTCCACAGGGCTTGCTGAGTCGTGACAACTAGACACGTCTGAGTTGAAATCGACTCGACGGCAATGGGTTAGACACATTTGAGGGCCCTGGTGGCACCGTGGTTAAGAGCTAGGATGCTAACCAAAACGTCGGCAGCTGGAATCCACCAACTGCTCCTTGGAAAACCTATGGGGCAGTTCTACTCTGTCCTATAGGGTCGCTACAAGTAGGAAACAACTTGACAACAGGTTTTACGGGTTTTTAGAAGGACTTGAGCCCTTGGAGCCACTAAGGAGGATGGATGTCTTGGGCACGATTTATTACAGCCACATGCTGCAGACACAGGGCGTGTCTCCCCCATCAGCAGGCTGGCTCAGCCTAACAGTGGACACTGATTAATAAGCGTTTGGGAGTTTGCAGAGCTTCTGAGTACACGGTTTTTCACCCGATTCTGAGGAGCTCGGTGACGTCAGCGGGACAGGGAGCAGAAAAGTCAAGGAGGAGGGAGAGGCTCTGAGAGACAGCCCTGAGGTCACCCCACTGCAAAGTGGCTGAGCAGCAAGCTCGTCTTGACCCCCTTGGCCTCCCAGGCCTATTCCTTGAGAGAACACCATCGTACTCCCAGAGACAGAACATTCTCCTAAAAGCACCAGAGACCCTGCAGCTTAAAAAACAAAACCCATTGCTGTGGAGTCAATTCCGACTCATGGTGACCCCATGTGTAACAGAGCAGAATTGTCCCATAGGGTTTTCTTGGCTTTAATCTTTACAGATTGCAAAGGCATTCGACTGTGTGGATCATAACAAATTATCGGTAACACTGCTAAGAATGGGAATTCTACAACACTTAATTGTGCTCATGAGGAACCTGTACATAGATCAAGAGGCAGTTGTTCAAACAGAACAAGGGGATACCATATGGTTTAAAGTCAGGTAAGGCGTGTGTCAGGGTTGTATCCTTTCACCATACCTATTCAATCTGTATATTGAGCAAATAATCTGAGAAGCTGGACTGTATGAAGAGGAACAGGCATCAAGATTGGTGGAAGAATCATTAACAACTGGGATATGCCGATTACACAACCTTGCTTGCTGAAAGTGAAGAGGACTTGAAGCACTTACTGATGAAGATCAAAGACGACAGCCTTCAGTATGAATTACACCTCAACATAAAGAAAACAAAAATCCTCACAATTGGACCAATAAGCAACATCATGATAAATGGAGAAAAGATTGAAGTTGTCAAGGATTTCGTTTTACTTGGTTCCACAACTAATGCCCATG